GAAGGCAGGGAGGGAAAGAGAAAGAGAGGAAGGGAAGGAGAGAGGAAGGGAGGGAAGGATGAAAGAAAGGAGGGAGGAAGAGAGGAAGGAAGGGAGGGAGGAAGCAAAGGAGAGAGGGAAGGGGGAAGGGGAGAAAAGGGGAAGGGGGAAGGGGAGAAAAAGGGAAGGGGGAAGGGAGGGAGAGAGGGAAGGGGGGAGGGAGGGAGGGAGGGATGGGGGGATTGAGAAGAGAGGAAGGAAAGAAGAGATGAAGGGAAGAAAGGAGGTAGGGAGGGAGAGAGAATCAACCAGTTCCTTCTCTACCCCAAATTTCCTTCATCCTTAAAAAAACATCCTCTAACCAACCCTACTTACCCTTCAATTATCCTCCCTTTCTCTTGCAAATTCCCTCCCTTGAAAAAGCTATCTAGACTCACTGGCCCCACTTCCACTCCTCTCACTTCTCAATCTTTGGCAATCAGGCTTCTGACCTGTCACCCAACTGAAACCTCTCTCTTTCAAGTTATCAATGATATCTTAATTGCCAAATATGATGCTCCTTTCTTAGTGCTTATCTTTCTTGATAAATGTGATTCTGCTGCCCACATTCTCCTCCTACATGCCTTTTCCTTTCTAAGTTTTCCTCAGATTACTCTCTTCCAGTTCTCTTCTATCCAACTACTTTCCCAACTCCTTTATCAGATCATCATCCATATCATACCCTGAGAGATGTACACCAGATTCTACACTTGTCGGTCTGTATCTGTGTCTGTCTGTCGGTCCGTCTCTCTTTCTGTATCTCTGTGTGTCTCTCTCTCTATCTCTCTCTCCATGTCTGTCTCTCTCTCTCTGCCTCTCTCTCTCTCTGTCTCTCTCTCTGTCTCTCTGTCTCTGTATCTCTGTCTCTGTCTCTCTCTCTGTATCATCTGCAGACAAATTATACACAAGTCCATAAGAGCGGATGAAGTCATCCAGAGGGAGTGGATAAAGAAAAGAGAGGTTGATACAGCTCCAGAGTACAATTGGGGCAAGAAAGAAATGGCAGTTCACCTGAAGAAAGTGAAAGATGGAACATCCAGACAAGTAGACGGATAGTCAAGAAAGACCAGTATCAAAAAGACAAAGAGAGGGAAAAGTACTCAACAGTGGTCAAAAGAGATGGGGACTGAGAAAAGTACACCATACTTGACAATTGACAGGCCAAAGATTGCTCTTTAGAGACAGCATTCTCAGTTGAGTGACTAAGCTAAGAGTCAAATTGCACAGTGTTGAGAAATGAGTGGAGAGGAAGTGCAAGTATTGAGCATCAACAGCTTTTTCTAGGAGTCTGGCCGAAACCCGGACAAGAGATATAGCATGACAGTTTGAACCCAGCTCAAACCCAAGTAGAATGTAAACTCCTTAAGGGTCAAAACTGTTTTCTTTTTGTCTATATATTCCCAGTGCCCTGGATATGAGTAGACCCTCAATTAGTATTCGTCACATCAAAGTGTTTCCACGATTTTAAGCAGGAACAATTACTTTTGCATCTTTAAGGCCATGACCATTACCAATAACCAATAAATATTTCCTAAGTATTACATTACAGTAATATTTTCACAGAGCAATATCTTGAGCCAAACAATGAAAAACCTTTGGAGAAAATTCACCTTTAGGAGTTTCTTCGTTAAGTGCCAAGAATGTAGGTGTGTTGGGGTTCCACATTCCAGTAATAACATAAGCTCTTCCATCACAGCTCTTTCCCATGGATTCCTATAGACACATAAATATTTAAACAGGTATTATTTAGAGTCTCTTTAGAAAATCAGAATTTGTAATGGCTTTAAAGAAACCAGATACATGAAAATTTTAGATCTGCAAACATGACAAAAAGCCTTTTACTTCAAAAAATTCTTCTCTAGAAAAATATTTGCCATATGAGTCTCTAAATAGCAGATTCCCTGAGGGCACTAAAAATACAAAAGTTTAATTCTGTCAAATTATTAGGAACTCATCTCATGGAACAGGCAAATTACATGAATGAACTGAATCGCAAAAACAGAATTGCAGCAGCAATCACTAGTATCTTGATTAACCTCATTCTGGTTCAAAAAAATTCATATATATCTACTCTCCATACACATATAATCACAATGTGGTTACCTTTTTGGATAATGAATCAACTAATTAGCAAGCTTTTATTGTGTGCCTACTATATGCCCAGGCATCTAGGTGGCACAGTGGATAAATGCCAGGCCTGGAGTCAGGAAGACTCATCTTCCTGAGTTCAAATCTGGCCTCAGGAACCTACTAGCTGCGTGACCCTAGGCAAGTCACTTTACCCTGTTTGTCTCAGTTTCCTCATCTGTAAAATGAGCTGGAAAAGGAAACAGAAAACCACTCCAGTACCTTTTCCAAGAAAACCCCATGCTATTGGCATGCTGGCAGAGTCAGATATGAATGAAACAACTGAACAACAACAACTATATGCCAGGTACTAAAGACAGACACGAGGTTAAAAATGAAAAAATTCCTGACCTAAAGAAGTTTAAATGGAAGAAACAATGCAAAGACCCAGCTAATAGAAAGAAAACAAACAAAAGGGGGCTAAAGAAAGCTAGAAGGCTCCTGGATAGAGCACTGGGCCTGGAGTCAGAAAGACTTGAATTCAAATCCAGACTCATATATTTACTAGCTATGTGACCCTGGGCAAGTCACTTAAGCTCTGTTTGCTTTAATCCACCAGAGAAAGAAATGGTGAACTTCCCCAGTATCTTTGCCAAGAAAACTCCTGGGACAACATGGTCCACAGGGTCACAAAAAGTCAGACACAGCTGACCAAAAGAACAACAACAAAAGGTTATCAGCAGTGAAATTGATGTTAGCCTTTTCCCCCAGCAATGAATTTCTTTTTAAAATATTGATATTACTCTACATTAGAACACCATCATATCATTAAAGGCAGCCATTTTTTTTTCAGTGTTAGCCAAATCTGGATCATCTTAAAATCAGTCCTCTACATAATGGATCATCTGTATACCTCACCTACCACTGAAAGCCCTTCATGATCCGGCCACTGTCTGGCCCACCTTTCCAACCTTATGAGGCTTGATTCCTCTTCTCACCATTTAACACCCAGTCAAAATGGCCTTCTTGCAGCTTTCGTTCCTTGAAGCTTATGAAGTGAGCTCCCACGTGATACACTCTTTCATTGCTATGCCTTGGCACTGGCCGTTCTCCAGACCTAGAAGGCCATTGCCTCCCATCGCCAACTCCTGGAATCCCTTGTTTCCTTCAAGACTTACATCATGTTTCCCCTTCTACAAGGATCTACCTGGGATCTGCCCAGCTCCAACAGCTCTGCCTCCAAAAATTACCTTGCATTTATTTTGTGTTTTCTTGTTGTTCAGTCATTTCCCAGTCGTATCTGACTCTTTGTGACCCCTTTCGGGGTATTCTTGGCAAAGATACTCTTCTCCAGTTCATTTTACAGATGAGGAAACTGAGACAAATAGGGTTAAGTGACTCGCCCAGGATCACACAGTTAGTGAGTGTCTGAGGAAAGATCTGAACTCAGGAAGATGAGTCTTCCTGACTCTAGGCCCAGTGTTCTATCCACTGCACCACCTAATGGTATGTATTCTATATACACTTATTTATGCATTCGTTGTCTCCTCTGATAAAATGTAAGCTCCTGGAGGCCAGGAACTATGTCCTTTTTATCTCTGCATTGCTGGCATAGGGCATGGTGACTGGAATTATAGCAGCAATATGTACATTGTTTCGTCCTACACAACACAACCTGATGAACTGAGTTCAGAAATAATTATTCAATTATATTCCAAGTTTTAGCAAACAGAAGGACAATAGCAGCACATTACTAAAGGGAGGTTTGCAAGTTTCCCATAGCATTTTACAGATAACATAATTATCATGTTTTGTTTAGATTTATATGTGTGCATGTACAGTACCCTCTTTTCTAGGCTATAAATTCCAAGAGGGAAGACATCATATCTTATTTAGTATTCTATCTTCTCTAGCACCAAACACAATGCTCCAAAAATAGAAAATACTTAACATATGGTGTTAAATAACATGTTGGTTTAAACATGATTTCTTCCAAACTTTCCCAGCAGTTAAATGGTGTTAAATTTAATTTTTGCCCTTATTCCAGGAGCACAAATACTAAAATTGGAAAAACACCAAGATTAACATGGGCCTTGCCCCAGGATAACACATAAATTCAGGAAGAATTTTATTCTTTTTTAATATACAGATTTAATGCCATTCCAAATATCAAGGGGATTCTTTTTAGAACTAGACAAAATAACATCAAAACTCATATGGCAGAATCAAAAGGTCAAGAACATCAAAGAGGACAAGGAAAATACACAGGCACAGAAGCAGCCTGGCATTACCAAATCTCAAATTATACTCTAAAATGCTCCATAATCAAAGCTGTTTGGGACAGGTTTTTAAAAATAGCAAAATTGAACAATGAAATTGATTAGGTAAACAAGACCCAAAAGCAGTTGAAGACAGCATCCCAGTATTCAACAAACCCCAGGACAGCAACCACTAGGAGGATATGGACTCCCTTTTTGGGGAGAAGAAAAACTGCTGAGAAAGTTTAGAAGAAAACATGTTCAAATCAACCAAGTTACATTCTATAACCTCTAATGAATGCATGATCTAAATATAAAAGATGACATCATAAACAAATAGAAGAAGAATGGAAGGAGCTACCTTTGACAACTATGGCTTGGGAGAGAATTTTTAACTAAATGAGGGATAGAAATAATCACAAGGATAGATTTTGCCAAAATATGGAACTTCCTCTGTCAATGCAAGCTGGCACTGTCTCTGCACTTTTCAATCCTAAAGAGTTGTGTAGAACACTAAAAAGTTAAGTGACTTGCCCAGGATCACAAAGCCAGAAAGTCTCAGAGATGAGAACTGAAACATAGGTCATCTTCACTCTGAGGCAGGCTCTCCTTCTCATCATGCCATGCTCACTCTCATTTGAGAAGGTAAAACAGACAAGTTAAATGATATAAAACTGAAAAGCTTTTATGTCAATCGATCAATGCAGTTAGAATTAGAAGATGAGTAGTTAACCTATCTCTGAGAAAGGTTTAATGGCAAAAACGTATAAGGAATGGATAGAAATAGATAAAAATAAGAACCATTCCCCAATGGAAAAGTGGGCAAGAAACATAAAGAGGCAGTTTTCAAAAGAAGAATTACAAGTCAGAAATATGATATCAACATTCTAAATCACTAATGATATGAGAAATGCAATTTTTTTAAACTGAAATTTAACCTCTCACCTATCAGATTTGTGAAGATGACAAAAGACAAAAATGGTCAATATTAGATGAGTAGCAATAAAACAGGCATACTAAGGTACCCCTGAGGGACCTGTGAATTGGTCCAACCATTGTAAAAAAACAATTTGGAATTATCAATCAATCAGCATTTGATTAATCACCTGCTATGTTCCGGGCACCGTGCTGCATGCTTGGGGTACAAATAATCAGAATGAAACAAACTCCACTCACAAGGAGCTTTAAAAAATCAGTTAGACGATCAGCCAATAAACATTTATGAATCATCAGCTATGTGCAAGGCATTGTGTTAAAGCACCGGGGATACAAAAAGAGGCAAAAGAAAGTCATTAAATGGTGGAGTCAATGCCTTAGTATTGCCTTAGCAGTATATCACTATTAAACACAGACCCCAAGAAGAACAAAGATAGGAAGAAAGGTCCCATATGTAGAAAGCTATTTACAGCAGCAAATAACTACAAAGAAAGTATGTACCAATCAACTAGTTCAAAACTGCATTAGTGAAGAGAAGACAAAAGTAAGAGATTTTGCAGAGGTAAGAAACGGTAAGCAAACAGAAATAGAGGAAAGAGGTCCTGAGGGAGAGGGAAGAATAAGTATGACTCCAAGGTTATGAATCTGGCATCCTCAAAAGAAAATGAGAAGTTCTGAAGGGATGACGGGTTTAGAAGGTAAGGTATCAAGTTCCATTTCAGCTACAATACGAGTTCCTCTTACCTTTCCATTTTTATTTCATATTATTTCCATTCATACACTTTCTCTTCTAGTCAAATTAGTCTGTTCTCTAGACACAGCATTCTATGTCCTGTCTCTGTGACTCTGAAGAAGTGATCCCCAGTATCAGTGCTTCTTAAACTGTGGGTCTCAACCCCACATGGGGTCATGAAAAATTTGGCAATAGTAAAAGGTTTCTGAAGGTGCAACGACCAAAAATTAATTCAAAATCAAACATGTAATGAATCCAAGGTGCTTCTGGCAGCGCTTGCCCATGGTGCATCACGGGACTTCCCTGCAGCCTTGGTTCTGAACATATGACACGCATACTTTGCACTGAACATGCCGTCACACCATGTAACACCAGTGAATGCTGCTGAAATGTGAAAAGAGGTAGCAAGTGGAAGAAGTTTGAGAAGCCCTGCCCTACATCGAAAACATGATCCTACTTTACCTCTGCCACACAGAATTCTTATACTCCTTTAAAACCTAACTCAGGTGCCACTTCCCTCCCATGGCACCCAGGTGGCACAGTGGACAGAGTGCTATACTTGGAATCAGAAGACATGAACTCAAATCTGGCCTCAGACACATAAGAGCTGTGTAATCTTGAGCAAGTCACTTCACCTCTATGTGCCTCTGTTTCCTCATCTGTAAAATGGGATAATAATCGCTCCTACTTCTAAGGTGGTTGTAAAGATAAAAGTGCAATAATATTTTTAAAGCACTTTGCAAACTTTAAAATGTCATATAAATGTTAGCTATTATTATTACTAAGACACTCCTTTTCCCTTTCACTGTCAATGATTATCACTCTCTCCCTCTTAAAATTGCATGTATAATTTTGATGTATGTGCTTTACATTTCAGTTTCTACATACATGTCATACCCATCCCACCCCCATTGAGATATAAGTTCCTTGAAGACAGGGACCATTTTGTTTTTGTCTTCCTATCCCAATGATAGAGTAAAAACATAAATATTTGTTGAACTGAACTAAATCTGATCCAGTGGATATTTCTTTCTGTGTAATAGAAATTTACTTTAAAATTATTCAATTCTCAATTACTTAAGGTCATGAAAAGATAACATGGATAAAACAGAATAATAAAAATCCACATGGGTAAGCCAGTCATCCCACCAGCCCTCAGATTTGCTCAGTTTCCCTTTACCAGAGGTACTGATGACAACAGCCTCTCTCCACCTCCAAGTACATCCAGCCTTTGAAGGATGATGTACTGCCAAAAACTCCTGAAAAGGCTCAAATAAAGATATACTGAGGCTCTGGGATGAGGCTTTTCAGAGAAATTTGCTATGTCAATCACTGTTTTTGAGGCTTTAAAGGTTTACACTTTAACATCTAGACATCCTAGAATTCTTCATGGTCCAAAAGCACCTTCTCAGAGAATGCCAGTGCCCTAGACAATCAATGTTTGGACATTCGCTAGTGATATAGCATATATATTTACATACACATGCATGCAGAGATGGAAGCTAACAGGCTATACATGGCTAACTTGAGTTTCTGGGTTCAAAATGACTGATGCATTTAGAAAACTCATGGGAAGCTTTTCCTGATTTATTCTAAAGGAAACTGATTCTTAAGAAATTCAGAGGAATACAACAAAATTAAATTAACACATAAGCTATTTTAGAGGAGGAACTTTAGAATACATATAGAATATAAACAGTGGTCAAGAAAATATATTGACTGGGGCAGGTAGGTGGTGCAGTGGATAGAGCACCAGCCCTGGAGTCAGGAGGACCTGAATTCAAATCCGG